ACGCTTCTGAAAAAGCATACGAGTGTGCTTACCATGGTAAATCTCTTTTTCAGTTAAGACATCTGGGTTTACATGAGAACACACACGCACCAACAACCCAATTCCAGCACACTCAGTGCATGAAGAGCTTCAAACAGCCTTCATACCCTGTATTCCCTGAGAAGTCACAAGGAAGACTCTGAACAGCACAGTAGTGATGATGAGTCCTTTTTTTCATTCTCCAGATTCAAGCCTTACAGTGTCCCCAGTGTAACGTGAAATATCCTTGTTTCTCATGAGAACATTCATGTAGAAGAAAAGCCCTATAAATGGAACACGTGCACAGAGTTTTTCTTTGGACTCACATCTTGCACGTCAGCAGAAGAGCCGCAGGAAAGTGGACCTTCCTTTTAAACGCCCGGTTTGTGTGAAGAGGTGGAAAGAGGATATGCATCTTGTTACTCTTATGGAAACTCTTACAGGAAAAACACCCTGTAAATATGGTAAATTTTCCTTAAAAAATAAATTAAAGTCTCCAAAGAAAAGGCTCAAATATTTCTCCAAAGTCATCAACATCTGAGATATATTCTTACACCTGGAAAATGATGGCTATTAGGAAAAGGAACAATGCTCTGATCCTGGACCTGCTCGCAGCAAACAACAGCTTCTTTCCTTCTTGGAAAAGACAGGCTATTGTAGGATTTGCCTAGATAATTTTGGACTGATGGAAATGCCTTCACATGAGGCCATAAAGGTCCTGAGTCTATGCTCCTAGAATGGATAAAAGAGACCGACCATGCCTTAAGAAAGATAAAGTGTGCCCTTATGCTTCAGCATTTGGAATACCTGACTTAAACGAACAAACCAACCAACCAACCAACCTTCTTTCTGTATCAGAAAAGGGAGGAATTACTTTGGGAGTCTTTCTTTCTTTCTTTTTTTTTTTTTTCTTTTTGGTACCAGGGATCAAACTTGGGCCCTTGCAGGCAGCTGAACCACTGAGCCAAATCCCCGGCCCTACTTTGGGAGTCTTGATTCAAAGGCTAGGACAAGAACCCCACTCAGGAGAATATTTTTCAAGTAAACTAGGTAGACCGGCTGCTGGTAGGCCACCCTGCCCGAAAGCAATAGCAGCCACAACTTAGCGAAAACTTAACTTTGGGATAGAGACTAGGAGTTCTGACTCCACATTAGGTCAGAGGTACTCCAGACGCAAAAGTTTACTTGTGGTTAACATGGGAATGGCTCAGTGAGTATCAGGCTATGCTGTCAGATCCACCTGAAGTTAACATCAAAAACTGCACTACTATTAAACATGTTTCCTCAGAGCCTACAGCAGGCCCAAGAAAAGCCGTGTTCCTGTGAACAAGTAATCTCCCAGATGCATGCAATCGGGCAGGCCATTAGCGACCCGCCCCTCCATGATCCTGAGGAGGTGTGGTTTACTTGATAGAAGGACCTTTGTCTGAGAAGAATATCAAAAGGCAGGTTATGCAGTTGTTGGCTCACAACAGGTCACTGAAGCTCAACTTCCTCCCCCAGCAACCTTGGCTCAAGACGCAAAACTCTTAGCTCTTACAGGGGCATTGGTAGTAGCAAAAGGCAGGTAAGAAGGCCTAAAGGACAGGCCTACAGCCCCTTCAGACGCTAGCCTTATTCCCAATTCCTGAGGATCCATGAAAACCACTCTATAGCCATCAAGAGGATAAATACATAGGTCTTAGGACAAGGAGGAATCAGAGAGAGCCCCCGACAGTATATAAGAAATGAACTGGTCCTTCCCCAAGTGATACAGTAGAAGGCTATAAAATCCCTTCATGATTCCTCCTATATGGGAAAAGATCCCTCCCTGGAAATGACCCGTCAAGTCTTCACAGGACTAGGTCTAGCAGCAATCACCCAGAGGGTCTGCACAGCTTGCCCACTTTGTGTCTACAAAAACCAGGACACGCGCAAACTGACCCTGTTGTTAGAACCTGTACAGAGGAGAAGGACATACCCTGGGGAGGGCTGACAACTAGACTCTACCCATATGCTACCATGCAGAGGGTTTACACACATGTTGGTCCTCATTCACACCTTCACACCTGGACTGAAGCCTTTCCTATCCATTCCGAAAAGGCTAGCAATGTAGTTAAGGTGCTTTCGAAAGACATCATCCCCAGATCTGGATTATGCCAGTCTCTCCAGAGTGACAATGGACCTTCTTTTACCGTCCAAATAATTCAGACAGTGGCAAAGGCTTTAGGAAAAAAGTACCGCCTTCATTGCCCTTGGTGGCCTCAATTTTCTAGAAGGGTACAAAGAGGCAACCAGACCTCAAAGCAAACTCTGACAAAACTTTTCAGAGACACTTGAATCCTGGTTCCACCTGCTACCAAATAGCACTTAGGAGGCTTTGTAAGATGCCCAGAATTGTGCTAAGTCTGATCCTATTTGAGGGGTTACACGGAAGGCCATTTCTATGTTCCGATATGATAGTGGACTTAGAGACTCATCCCAGTAGCGTTGAGTATAAAAGGCACAGAAAAAAGATGTACAGTACTGTATCATACCTCTGTGAATCTAAAATATCTTGAACGTGCTGTATGATACGTAGTAGTGACCGTGCTTTATCAGAGCTGCTAGGAATGACGTTACTCTGGAATGTTCTCTCTCCAGATGATGATTAAGATGCTAAGAAGAAAAATGGTGCCGGGTAACAACAGCAACAGAACTTTACTGTTTTCTGGGTATTATTCTTTTCTTTGTTGTTCTATTTTTATTTTTTTAATGGCGTGTGTTGAATGTCTATAATTTTGTTCAGATGACTGCAGAAGCTGGAACAGCTGTTGCCGCCATTGATACATAATGTGCTGTTATTGTTGGACTTTTATATAAATATACACACACACACACACACACACACATATACACACACAATATATATATATATATATAATTTGCATTTTTGGAAACTAACTGTGCTGTCGACTTTGGAAAAAGCTATCCCAATTTACTGTGTTGAGTTGGCACTGTACAGAAATTAACAGCCATATTGGTCTAGAAAGTTAATTTTTTTCCATTTCTATAGGGGTAATGCACTGTATTAAATACGTAAGGTCATATCTACTTGGGTTTGATTACAGAAACTCATAAAGTATTCTCTAAAAAATGAAAAAAAGAGAATAATATAAGGCTACAAGTGCAAGAAGCAACTTAAATATGTTCAAGGACCATTTTCATCTTCAGAATTAAGGATTATTTTAATGTTACATCATTGCCTTTTCTCTTTTACTTTCCTTTTTAGTTTTATTTTAGGATTCCCTATTTTTAATGTTCATATAGAGATTTCTTTTACTGAAATACTGAACAGTTTCTCTGGTGTGAAAAACTGTAATAGTACACAAAATCCTAATGAGATAATTAATAATGTGAAATAGGAAGTAAAGGTTTAAAGGTGTAGGGAAAGTGGGAAGAGTGGGGGAAAGGTAATAAGGGAGAGGAAAAATTATGTGAAACTGAAAAAATGGAAATAATTTGTTTGTACGTGGGGAAGGGAGGAGGGAGGGGGTGTAGGGAGGGCAGGGACAAGGGGAAAAATGAGAATCAAGACCTATCATGCAAAGGTACAGGATCGCAATCATGAATGTAATTGTACTGTATACCTAGATTGTACCAACAAACTCAATAAAAATTTTTTAAAATGCAGCTAAGTACTCTGATTTTGTCACCCCGTGTGACCCATGCACCGTCTTCTCTACAATGCCACATCACCTTGGATTCAGCTGATTATGGACTGAAACCTCTACAAACTGTGAGCCAAATAACCCTTTCCCCTTCAAAACTGCCCCTCTAGTATTTGTCTCAGCAACAACAGCAAAGTGACTAAGACAGACACTGACACCAGAGAAGTGGGGCTGTAACTGTGACATTACATGGCCAAGTGGCTCGAGAGCAGTTGGAACTCCCCATGTGGAAAGAGGACGAGCTCGGAAAGGTTCGGAGATGCCTGAAAAAGTAGACCTGGAACCAATTAGGCTTGACCATATGAGAGATTTGGGTCAGAGCTCAGAAGACCAGAAAGCTGGTAAAGATAAGGCACTGGAGGCTTCTGCTGGGAAGGAGGACTGCATTGGCCGCTAGGCTCCAAATGATGTGAGTTATGCCTTGGCAGAAAGTTTCCCATCATTTTGCACGAGACTTTATACGAGATTGAGATTCAGGGCGGTGGACTAGTTCATCTGGATTAGTCCGATAGAAGAAGTTTCAGCTCAGGCTAATGTTGAGGCAGTGTCGTGGCTGCTGTTGGGGTCTTTTAGGCAGATTCGTGTTGAGAATCAAAAGCAAAGAGGCCAGCAGGATGATTTAAACGCTTGTTAGTTTGGTCAGAAATGAAGCTCTAGTAAAGCTGTGGACTGCACAGATAGACCAGAGATCTTTACAACTGAGAAGGAACAGAACAGAAAGGAGGGCCTGAGGGCATCACAAGAAGCAGCAGGACTCCATTATTTGCAGCCACAGAATAGCAATGAAAGACTTTGCCTTGAGAAGAAAGCTCTAGAGCAGGCAGCATGTTCCTGAAGGGTGGCAGCCTAGAGAACTGGTTCCTTGGAATTGGCTTCAGAGTGCTCAGCAAAACAGGCACTCAACCCCTACAGCCATGACAGAAGAAAGCCTGACTACTGCTCCAGCTGGCAGCAGACCTTGGCATCCTCCACTGGATGATGGCCTGGCAGTGAGCCCCCGGGGAAGGCAGTGTTAGTGCTTCAGGAAACTCTTACTTTTAAATTTGCAAAACCACACTTAAGAATCCTTCTTGGACTGGGGATGTACACTACTGATACACAGATTGCATAGCATGGGCAAAGCCTGTGGTCTGATACCAGGACCATTAAAAAGGCTTTACATGGCCTGTGATTTACACCAAAGGATGTGGAGCTACATGAACCTGGAATGAGTCCCTGCAGTATAGCATTTAAGGTAATTCACCATGTCAAGCTAGTAATATGTCCAATAAACCTTTAACAGAGTCTTTAGAATCTGTTCTGTTTGCCTTTATGAGTAAGTTGCATGAAAAAGCATTTCTTTTCTTTTTTTTCTTTGGTACCAGGGATCGAACTCGGGTCCTTGCGCTTGCAAGGCAGGCGGCAGAACCATTGAGCCAAATCCCCGGCCCGAAAAAGCATTTCTAAAGAAACCTGGTTTTGTCCTGGAATATGTCACACTGAAAATTTGAGTACTTTACTGTTCGCAAGAGTGAGTGCGCATTCGCACATGCATGCCAGAGGAAAGAATAGTGCTAAGGCTGGGCTAGGTATGCACTTCCTGCAATGTTCCGGGAGCATAACCCACACTGAATTCAGAGGAGTTGCATCTCCTCTTTCATGGACATCCTGACTCCTGAGAGCTCAACCGGATGGAGAAGACACCCTGTAAGATCCTCTGCTTCAAAACTCCTCCCTGAATGCCAATGTTCAGCAGAATTTTTCATGAGACCATTCAGTTTGTCTTCCCCATGGCCTCTCAACCAACCAGTGACACAATGAACCCAGAGGTGTTAGGACACCCAAAGGCAGTGGTATCCAGCCCAAGCTTAACAATGAGGTGGAGGAGGCCCAGTTCCACTTGTGTAACAACTGCTTTTGAATCACAAATAAGCTGCCCTCGGTTGCCCTTTACATTGTCTGTTTCAGAAAACTGGGCTTAGCAACACATTTTCCAGTGTTTCTAAGGCCTTCGTTTTACATGGGGTAGGAAATAACAAAGACCCTCGTCACCTAAGTATATCAAATAATTTGACACATTAGCAGTATAACAAGAAAAGAAAAAATGCTAATAATCCTGTTAAACCTGCACACTTCAATTCCTCTGAAAAAAGGAAAGGTGAGCTTGAGCCCTAAGGAACCTCAGGGCCTCTCAGGCGACCTTTTCAATGAAAGTACTGCCAGTGAAAAGTCACAGGACAAGGACTCCAGCGAGTCCACAGTAAAAGATTCTTTGAGAATATCTTAAACACTAATGTAAGTTTTTCTTGTCCTTTTCAAATTATGACATGTCAGCACGTGAAGTACTCTGTTCTACATACCCAGAATAGCAGTGAATTCACATAGTGAAATAATGAGCAGCAACTGCTCTGCCCTTGCCAAGTAACAGGCCCTCCCTCTACAAACCTCACAGGTTACAAATGGTAGCAAGTCCTCACGGCTGTTGGGTGCTGAGCCCTGTCAGACTCCGCGTGAAGAGTTCAAGCTGGGAAACAAAGGATGAGTTTCAGAAGATGAACAATCCCAGGATCCGGGCTTTTTCTTTCTTCATATCAAAATTAGTGTGGTGACTTCCAAGATCCAAGATGTCCAGTTAAGTAGCGAGGAGTCTTCTTGCCCTAGAGAAAAGGAAATATATATGTAACTGATGTCATGAGACAGCCTACTGAGCTGCACAGAGGTGGACCTGCAGAGGTGACATAAGGAGTTAACCAACCACCCGGATATGTGCGATTCTTTCCCACATGTGGGACTCAAGACCCTGAGACATTAGAGCCTGGGCACCTGCTCCATGCTACACACATCTCAAAGATGATTTCACGTGATTCTCACAACTAAAATATAAGGTGTAATTCCCACAGTGTTAATGAGGGAACTCAGGCTCAGAGATGACAACAAGAATAGCCCCTGGAGTTTGATTTTTCACAGCAGAGAATTGGAAGGATGAAGACTTGAAGGGACACTGGCCCGTGTACTGTCATAGTTGCCCTTTGTCCCGGAGACTCTGCCAAGTATTGGCCCTCCCTTCAGAGCACAGACAGCATTTCTCTACCACCACCAGGTCCATGGTTGACAGCTCTTCCTATTACATAGATAGTACTGATCCCAATTTCCTCCTTTTGTGGCTCACAGTAGAAAAATTTGAGCAACACTTCTAGGACTCTTACATTCCTGGAATTCCTTCGGAAGATCCAGTGCAGTCTATTTTCTTTCTACCTGCTATGCAGAGAACTTTGAGAGACTGTGAAAACACTAAAACTTGGGTAGTAAACTGTTACACTTAGGTCTCTATAATCAGAAAATTTAAACACAATGAGTTCATCAATTACACTGGAAAACACCCCCGAGAGGAACACAAATAAGTGGAAGAAGTCACCGCTTAGTAGGATCTGCACAGAGACCTACGCTGAGAGTACCGTGCTGTGCCCATGAACTGATCTTAGCACGGTTGATGGTGCCTAAGTGAGAGATTCTCTAAAGGGCTTTCCACTCCATTCTAAATGGTGATATATGTGACAGGAGATTCTTCCTGACCTCTGCTCAGCTCTTGTCACCTGACCCCAGTGAAGGTTGCTCCCACTTGTCTATTGCACTGTGCAGCTGGGGCTGTCCCCACTCCTTTTACATCACAGGGTCACAGAATGACTGACCCGGGACAGTTCCACTGCCACCCCTGAGGTAGGCGGTGACTAGAAAAATGGGAAGATATGTGCCTGTGGGTGACAGCCTACTATCAGTGTAGAAATACTAGGTACTGGCAGATTCACATGATAAATGAGTGAAGAACACATAATACTATTTATGTAGAAGAGTGTATACAACCTGTGGAGGGACCTGACTACTCCATTTAGAGGCTTGTGCTGGATTTGCCACATCAAAGATAGAGTAGGATCACAGGGACTTTGCAAAAACACCAGAAAGCACTGCTATTCAGAAGCCCATCTGCCTTTTCCTCAAGGTACCAAAGTTAAACATCACAGCAGAATTACAATATGTGTCTCTGAGAGTCAATACCATATATTTTGTAGAAAGGGAGTCTCAGAGAAATCCTTTTTTCTTGTCATTCAGGAACACAGTGACTGACTTACTCAAAACTATGAGCAACAAATCTTGGAAAGGGGATTGTGCGCCCTTAGTTTGTTATCAAGTAGTGACCTCTATATTTCATTCAATATCGTGCATCAAAACATTACACACAGGTATCCTGTCTCACTATATAACCAAATACTGACAGTTAAACAATGAAGAAATAGTGTGCAACTGCACACTTGTGTCATTTTCAATAATCATTAATATAATACATTGGAAATTGTCTTCCATCAAGAAGGAGCTAAAATAATTCACAATATTTTCACAAAGACTTCCTTCTGTTAAATAATGTTACCACTGCTTGACATCTATTATACTTCTTTGAGGAGAAAATGGAAAATGAGTGACCAGCTGCTAATACAATGTAAATGTTATGGCTTGTGTTTAATTGTCCCCCCAAAGGCTCGTGCTCTTTCAGAGGTGGCTGATTCTAGAGTGTGTGATGGATTCCTGGTGGCACTAGGCCTGAGGGCAGTAGGATTAAGGACCTGAGTGCTATCAGCCCTAAGTTGTCTGAATAAGATGAAAAGGGCAGAAAAACACTGTTAATTCCTGGTGGCACTAGGCACGAGGGCACTAGGATTAAGGACGTGAGTGCTTCCAGTGCTAAGTTGTCTGAATAAGATAAAAGGGGCAGAAAGACACTGTCAATGTCTCTTGTTTATGTCTCTGTCTTCCCCTGCCTTAAACTGTTCTCCCTTTCCATGTGCCACCCTGACTTGGAGCCAGTCAATTACAGACTGAAACCTCTGTGACCTCATTAAACCCTTTCTCCTTGATCTTTGGATGTGGGGTATTTAATTTCACCAAAGCAAGACAATTAACTAACAGTAGATTTTGTGAATATGCTCTTATACCAGCAGGTCACTATGAGCTATGAATATGTAATAAAAGTGACTTCTGATTTCATAACACGCATATTATACAAGGGTCAGGACTCTACCTAAAAAGACAAGACTAAGGGGACTAACTAGCGCCCCAGTTTCTTGAGTTTGCTTTCCTACCCATGAGAAAGTGCATACATAGGTTGAAATTGAAAGAAGAACAATCAATTTTCTGATTTCTAAAAATATTCTGATGGATGATTTTTTAAGGTCATTCGTCAATGTAGAAAGAGTTGAGTCTACATTAAATAACACTTGCATTCATGCATATGGATATAAAGAAGTAGGCCTTGCCCCTCTCTTACTCCCCTAGGCTTGCATGTAGACTTCATGACACAACCAGCCAGGCAGCCAAAGGGGAGAGAACGGCACGGGCCAGAGGAGGGGAGAAGTAGCCTCTTCCACCCAGTTCTTGTCCTCACCTGCCTTGCCCGAGACCACACCTTTTCATCTTGAGTCCACAGAGAAATTACAAGAGTATTACTTTCTAGGAAAAATCACCTGCCAACAGGGACCAAATCCAAATTTAAAGAAAAACCATACATTAAATACACAACTCTCTTTCAAAAATCTAAACGTGGGCTGGAGTTGTACATCAGTGGTACAGCATAATAACTGTTGATATATGTAAGTCACTGATCTTGATTCCCAACACTAAAATAATAACCTAAATAAAAATTAGGGCCAGGGATTTAGCTCAGCAGTACCATGTTTCCTCCAAATAACAAGATGCTGAGTTCAATCCCTGGTACCAAATGAACAAATAAATAAATTTCAAAAAGTTAAAATTTCCCTCTGAATGAATGAGACCACCATCCTTACTGTCACTTGAGTCCCTTCCTCTATGAAGTCCTATGGTCTTTAGGTTTCCTTTCCCAGAACAAGCAGCCCAGGCTGATTAGGCCCAGAGAGCACAGCTTTCAACCCTCTCAGGTAATCTGCAGCCAGCAGCTGTGACAGCCTAATGACCACTGACCTTGAGGGAACTCTGCTCCCCAGCCCTTAAGCAAGCCAACTCCCCTTCAACCCTTGCTTTGACAGCCTTGCCATGACAGCAATTCCCTCGGTTACACCTTCTCTCCCCTGTGCCCCACAGAAACTAAGCCAGCTGCCCTTCTGGTCACTTTAACCAGATCTGGGCCTTCCAGATTTCTAAAAAGGACCCTGTGCTTGGCTGTGGAGCTGCTTCTTTCCTTTTTCCTAACATTCTCCACCTGTGAATTTTCTCTTTTTTTAAATTGAACATTCACCAGGGTTTCCTAAGGAAATCAAAGCACCCGGGACAGAATTTTCTTAAATAACCTGAAATACAGCATGAACCTGATTTGGGAAATGAAATTCTAAACTGTGATCACTGGTGATCACCACCCAGCACCTCCAGACTTTCCCTGTCATAAAATTACAAAAACCACAATCAGTAAACAAAGACTTAAATAAATAGCAGAAATTTCTTCCCTTTTAGATTTATATCAAACAGGCAGAGAACTTCATTTATATGAAATAATAAAACAACGTAATGTAAAATGAAATGAAAGTTTAAGCTACCTATTAATTTGACACCAGTAATAGTGATCAAAGCAATAGTTGCAAAGCCAATTTAAAGAAATGTTCCCTTAATTGTGCACCGAAGATAACAAAAATCTTTTTAACACTGACTTCTGAAAGGGGCAAGACCCACATTTAATTGAATAAATGATACCAAACACACAATTCTTCTGTAAAAAATATCCCCTGGTTTAACTGCCACCAAGGATAGATGGCTAAGAGCATTCAGTGTTATAAAACGTCAAGAACTCAGTCAACTGATTAAGAAATGCATTAACGAATCAAATCTATCTCCAAGTATTTCCATTTCACGCAATTTACAAAGCAAGAACACTAGAAATTTTTTAACAAATAATTATATCAAATAAAAATTATAATATGAAATAAAAGCAATCAAATAGAAATTAATTTTCTCTCCGTAAAGGGAAACTTACACAAAAACTTTCCAAGGCACTTACTTATAAGAGATCAGAGAACAAAACATAAATAATTAAATGCAACGAGATTGGATACATAAAGTACTAGACTGAATCCAACCCTGTTTACAAAATGGCGGTAAATGACATCCAGGACGATTGTAAAACTTCATGTGCATATCCAGAAGATTCATTTAAAAATGTGGATGGAGGGCCGGGGATTTAGATCAGTGGTTCTGGCATGTGCCTCATAAAAATGTGGATAGAGCAGATTTTTTTTTTTTTGTTTAAAGAATAGTTGTGGAATAAAGCCAAAACAAAATTAAAGTCAAATAATTGCTCTGTCATGAAAAATTACCACACAAAAATACTGTAAAATAATACAAAAATGTAGGTTCCCTGGGAACTTTATTCCCTTCAGGATCTTAAAGCTACAAGTACATGCCAAACATTCCCCAGTTGCATATGTATAAAGAGATAATAACAACAATCATTATAAAGACTCTTGGTTGAATAAAACAATATTACGGGGCCAGGGATTTAGCTCAGTGGTTCCACCGCCTGCCTTACAAGCACAAGGACCCAAGGACCCAAGTTTGATACCTGGTACCAAAAAAATAAAAAACAAAACAAAAACAAAAACCCAATATTAAATACATAAGTACACTGCATCAATGTGCACAA